CCAGCATCTGCAGTTCCTACTATCCCAGATAAAGAGGTACTCAATGCACTAACCTGCTCTCTTCGCCTTCCAGCAGTTTTTTGTAAGTGGCAATTTCGATGTCCAGGGCAAGCTTAGTGTTCATCAGATCCTGGTACTCTCGTACCTGGCTGATCATTTCCTTGTTAGCCTTCTCTATGGCTTCTTGCAATTCAATCATCCTTTTTTTAGCTTCTGCAAGTGCCAGCTCCCCACGTTCCTCTGCTTCAGCGATGGCTGCCTCCAGCTGCTCTTTCTGTAACATATGGGAAACTGTCAGTGGGAAGTGAGCCAGACCGCAACTTAAAGTAGATAGATAGGATACACTGCACGTAGGGTAACATTTACGTCAAACCAAAAAGCAACGGACATAGGAATTTCGATTCTCTGCAAAGCGATCTTACTTGTTTGTTCAGAGCTTGGATTTCAGAATTAAGCCGCCCAATTTGTCTTTGCATGTCTGAAACCTCAGTCTTCATTACACGGAGCTCATCTGCATACTTTCCAGAATTCTTCTTCATATCGCTGAACTAAAATGGAGAATTATTATTAACATTGATAGTTATTCTTTAAAGGTGTCCAAACCAAATTTTCAATAAAGCTGGTCAGTAAGTGGTACAATGCTAGTGTCCCTACTGCTAGACAGAAGAGCTGGGTTCAAGTCTCGCCTGCTCCAGAGGTGTATAATAACATCTCTAATTGATTAGGAAAATATCTAAAGGTAGTCAATGAGCTGACAGTTGTGATGGAGGGTCTGCATCTAAACATCAACATATTTTGTTCTTTGTAAGTTATGATGGATCTGCATTATCTGTGGTGCTTTGAATTGTGTTTTTCCTTTACATTCATCCTAGTGATTATCTTAGTTACTTTCTTTATTGAGAAACACAAGGGAATGGCCATGGACTATACAGCAGGGTGCCATCAGGTTCATTCGAAAAAAAAACATAAACAAGGTGGTGAGGGAACTCAAAAAGCTTTGCTTTTGGAATGTCGGAGGAGAATAAAATGGAAGAAAGCACAGAGATCTGGGTGTAGGAGGTAATTTACAAACTGAAAGTTAGTCAGCAGTGGAGAAGGTTTTCTAAGATTACAAAGGGATCTTGATCAAATGGGTCAATGGGCTGAAAAATCAACAGTCCTTAATGTCTCCAGGCAGATGGAGTTCAATCTGGATAAATGCAAGGTATTATGTTTTGGTACAACAAACAAGGGTAGGGCTTATACAATTAATGGTAGGGTCTTGTGTAGTGTTGTGGAACAGAGGGACCTAGAGGTTCAGGTACATAATTCTTTGAAGTTTGCACCATATATAGACAGGATGGTTAAAAAGGCGTTTAGCACGCTTGCATTCAGTGCTCAGTCCTTTGAGTATAGGAGTTGAGGCTATGTTGAGGTTGCACAGGACATTGGTGAGGCATCTCCTGGAGTACTGTGTACACTTCTGGTCACCCAGTTAAACTAAGGACTTCATGGAAGTTTATAAAATAATGAGGGATATAGGTAGAGTTAATGATAGTTGTCTTTTCCCTAGGATGGGGGATTTCAAGACTAGGGGGCACATTTTTAAGGTGAGAGGAGAGAGATTTAAAAAAGACATGAGGGGCAAAGTTTTTACACAGAGGGTGGTTCGTGTGTGGAATGAACTTCCTGAGGAAGTGAAGGATGTGGGTACAATTACAATGTTTAAAAGACATTTGGATAGATACGTGAATAGGAAAGGTTTGGAGGGATATGGGCCAGGAGCAGGCAGGTGGGACTGATTTAGTTCGGGATTATAGTTGGCATGGACTGGTTGGACCAAAGGGTCTGTTTCCCTGCTGTATGACTCTATTGCTGATCAAAAAAAGGACACATTTTGTTGAAGCTTTTCGCTTTACACTCATCAGGACAATTTGCAAGAATATCAATCTCAGGGGAAAAGCAGCATTTATACTGAATGAGGGGAGAGTGTGATTCATTGGCAAGTGAACTCTGATTGATAGAGATATTGCCATGGAGAATGCACCCATTAATACTGATTGACAGTTAACAGCCACAGTGTGTTTAACATTTTAAACCAGGCATGCTGAATCTAATTAGTCATGGATTTGCCCTGAGGAATGAGCCTGTGAATGGCCATCACCTATTCTGTTGAGTCAAAGCAAGCACAGTATACATACACGTTCTTTCTGTCTGCAAAGAACAGGGCTTTGTGTATTAATATGTGTAGCTTCTAGTACACACTAGTGGGCGACTCCATGAGCCCGACTGACAATCCAAATTTTTTCCTTTATTCATGCACGAGATGAGGGCATCGCTGACCAGGCAGCATTTATTGCCCATCCCTAATTGCCCAGATGGCAGTTAAGAGTCAACCACATTGCTGGGGGTCTGGAGTCACCTGTAGGCCAGACTAGGTAAGGACGGCAGTTTCCTTCCCTAAAGGACATTAGTGAACAATTGGTTGTCAGCGTAATTCTTCAAGCACTTGAGATTTTCCAGCAAATGCTGTGCAATTGCAAAACCACATCTGATGATGGGCACTGTTTTGCAAGGCAAAATTGGTTGAGTACGGTCAGTACCCTGCTTGTTTATTATAGTAATATCTATTTGTGTTTCTAATATAATTAGAATCATCATAAACTGAAAACATTAGCAAAGATTGAATAGGCTGGGGCACTTGGTTGGAAGTCCCCCAGGAGACAGTAACAAAAAGCACAAATGTATCTGCAGGAGACTCTCCCGATATTATCCATCAAGATACTTCTCGTTAGAGTTCAATATTTATATCTGCGCAAGCTGCAAAGAGTAGTTTCGTCTCTTTCTCCTTATTAATCACAGTATCGTAGAAGGCTATTCACTTAGTGCTAGTGCCTGCTATCTTAAAACTGGACATATCTACTCTTTAACAGAGCATGCTACGCATTACCTTGTTTTCCCATGTGGCCACAGTGTCTTGGCGCATCTTAACAACCATTCCTTCATATTGAGACCGGACATCATTGAGGATGCTGGAGAGGTCCAATTTACGGCTAGTGTCAACCTCCAGAGTAACAGCAGTGTTCTTGATTTGGGCCTGCAGCTCATGGAGCTCCTGGGCAGGAAAACAAGCAGATGTACTTGAGTTTAACAATGCCTGTGTCCCAATTAACAGTTACAACTCTTGTTTCAATGAAAACAGAAAGACAGATCATACTTGTATTGTACACCATGTGAAAGTTGTGTCAACAGGGCTAATTGGAAAATATGGTTATAAAGGTCACTTTTGCTGGAGTGTTAGTTTGATAACAACTCGAGAAATGGCAGCAAAAGCTCTATGTTGCGCAGGAGCAATTAACACAGCCTAATCTCCTTCTGGGTTTCTGAACTTTTTCTTGAATTCTCTTACCGAAGCACCACGGTGAGGGTTGTGGATTCAGATCCTGAATTCACCCCAGCTGGAATGGGGATCAAACCCTGCACTGTTGGCATCAGTCTGAGCCATATCCATGCCGTTCTACAACAGAAATTTTTCTTTACCTCTTCGAATATATCCTTCAGGAAATTTATTTCATCCGTAAGGCTCTCAAGCTTAGCCTCCAGTTCCACCTTGTTGAGATAGCTTTCATCGACATCCTGCGAGACATTAAAAAAAAGAGACAAGCTCAAAAAAACTTGAGTTACATATTGAATTAAGGTGGGTGGAGCAAGTTGGAGAATATTTTGAATGGTCTTAATTACTCTTCGTTCCCATCCTCCAATTATCACCCCTCTTATCTCGAAGATGTTTGCCCTAATTGAAGACCAGTTTCATTATGGCCAGACATAGTCAGTGGCTGTTCTTCATATGTGTGTCTGGATCTTCTTCAGTGGTGTAGGTGTGGCAAGTCAGGATGTGTGTTCATCCAACAGGTTCAGCCTTGACCTCAGTCAATGTTCTGGCATCTTCTCAATTCAGATGCAGATTTCCAGCAATATTGTCAACTGTTAACTGGGAGGTTGACCCTGGGCTGGTGGTGGGGATGAGACAAGGCGGACAATAAGGAAAATGGCAACAGGGTCTCCAATGCCTGTTAACGGACCAAATAAACTCTCCACTGTTCATACAGCAGAGGCCTTGACTCAAACTGGAAATCTCCATCTCTCTCTCTCTCCATTAAAGTGTCTGCTGTGCCTGTTGAAGCCATTATCACAGTTCTCAACTCCGAACAGAGCTGGATAAATCTGTTACAATGAGGTACAAGCTATATCCTACACTTATGAAGGGGCAATGAACTCTGATGCCACATCATTATTGTCACCTTATTTAAACACCCCTCTTCACCCGTATGTGAGGGGCATTTGTGGCACGGGCATAGGCGAAACCAGGAAAATCTGTCAACCTTAGAAATGGATGGGGATCCAGTATAAAAGTTTCTCACCCCAAGTTATCTGCCTGGCTGCTAATAATATACCCTCCCTCCCTGAAAATCTGTCCTAAGTGTCAGCAGACATCCTACAGTCATATTTCACGGGAGGGAAGGGAGTCATCTTTGCAGAGTTGGCTCATAATGGCATTTAGCTTGAACCCACCTTCTTGATCATTACAAATTCATTCTCCCTTTCTGTACGCAAGTTGATTTCATCTTCATACCTTGAGAAGAGAGAGAAAAACATTATCATCAATGGCTGATGCGATGAGCTGTCTCCAGAATTACTAACTGTCGAGCCATAGAATGGTCATAGTACAGGTGACCATTTGGCCCTCTGTGCTCTGCAGGAACAGCACAGCATACATGGACTCCACACTTTTTCTTAAAATACAATGCTACTGGGAACAAAGTTGAGTAAATGAATATGAATGCTGAAAATTGTAAATGCCCCAAGTCCCATTCACCTATCACCCCGGACCTACACTGGCCTCCAGTCTTAATTTAAAAATTATCATTTTTGTTTTTAAGTCCATCCATGGCCTTGCCCCTTTCCCATCTCTGTAATCTCCTCCAGCTCCATAATCCTCTCAAAAATTTTCTAATTCTGGCCTCTTGAGCTGGCTCTCAATTTTAATTGCTTCACCATTGATGGTTGTGCCTTCAATTACCTAGGCCCCCAGCTCTGCAATTCTTTCTCCTGTAAGACATGCCTTAAAATTTACTGCTTTTGGTCATCTGACCTCAGATCTCCTTATTTGGCTCAGTGTCACATTTAGTTTTATGAGAATCCTTCGAAGCATCTTAAAATATTATATTAGGTTTAAGACATTATGTAAATATAAACTCTTGTAAGTTGTTTAACTTTGAACCTTTCACACTCTGCTGGTTCACAACGGTCAAAAAAATTGTTTTTAAACTTGGAATGCCAGTTCCCTGATAGCGACATTGGTGAGGAAGTGAGCTATACTGACCAGAAAGATCCCATGATTCAATCCCAGATTTCTGCTAAATTGTATAATCTCCCCTAGAGTAGACTCTGGAGGGTCAGCCATTGCCCTCACCATCTCAGGGCAAGGGAAGAAGGGAAATAAAAGAGTAGTTCACAGGCCCTGCCCCTGATCACTGCTGGACAAAAAGCGTCAAAGTGATGCCCACTTGCAGTTCAGTAGCCAACCTGCATTCACTGTCTGAACTCACATATCCACTTGGGTAATGCACCAGAGGAACTCTAGTTCTTTTCCACTTTTGTCCCATTAAGGGCAGCAGCTTCAGATGAGAAGGCTTGAAGCTTTCTGTTCTTGTGTAATTGCAATTAAAATTTATTCCGTATGGAACAGTTTCTATTTGGCCCCTTGAGCCTGCTCCACCGTTCAAAAAGATCACGGCCGACCTTTGACCTGAAGTCCATTTTCCCCACTCTCTCCCTTTATCCCTTCAATCCCTCAGAGTCTAAAAATCTACCGATCTTCTTCCGGAATATCAACTGAGCTTCTGCAGCCTGTGATCCTTCACCCTGTACTGCCTGTCTGGACAAAAGCAAATACTATTTCATCAGTCAGAAGTCCCACAGGTCTATGTCTTTCGAAAAGCATTTATCAGGGCTAGTTAATAATGAATGAATATTGGCAGCTCCGAGTCACTTGGTCTTTGGAACCACCCTTTAGATTTTGGGACTTATGAGGTTCAAAAAAGTTAACTTCTCTGAGGTGGCATGCTGAAGTGCTAGGAGTTATATATATGGCCGCGCAATAGCAGTTGCCAAGTGATACTGGGCTCCAAACCATGAGTCATCAATTACAACATCAGTTCAGTGGTGCTTTATTATGTAAACATTTTGGTGCTTGTTTGTGCACCTTGGGACTTTTGAATTCTTATGGCCATGTAAGGTTTAACACGCTCACATAAAATTCCTTTGTGCACAGTCTTAACGCTGTTGTTCAGTTCAATGTGAATGGGGTCAACTAATCCATGCCTGAGGTATACTGAACCTTGCATGTGGCTTCGAGACATGTTTGGTGGTGTATCAGCTGCAGCTTACCCTTGAGGCAGAAGACAGTGGGCTCAAGATCCACGCCAGAGACTTCAGCTCCAGGTTGACACTCCAGTGCAGCACCAAGGGAGTGCTGCACAGTCAGAGGTGTTGGCTTTCAGATGAGATTTCAGACCCGAGGCTGTGTCTGATATCTCAGGTGGATGCAAAATAGCCCATTGCACTAACTGGAGAACCGCAGGAGGGCTCTCCCCAGAGTCCTGACCAATGTTTATCACCCAAACATTATTAGCAAACTGATCACACATCTCATGGTCTGTATGAGAGCCTGCTGTGTACCGATTAGTGGCAGCGTTTGTCTCTAAAAGTAAAGCAGTCTACCAGTTCTAGGATTCTAAAGGGGCTTCATGCAACTTCTTTCATTCACCCTAACACAATGAAGCCATCGAGATAAGAATTAGGTCATCAGTCATGTGGACCAGCTCCTACCTTCATACCAATGGTCTGTGCCAAATCAGTTAACTATGGCAGAAATCATACTGGCATGAAGCACCATTCCAAACAACCCCCATTGTGCCTGCTGACTTATCTTATCTCCCCGTCTGGTGACACAGAATTTTCCCCCTCCCAATCAATTACTGCTCCTGCCCGGAAGCGAATGTGCACAAACACCCATTGAGTACAGGAAGAGTCTTGAATATGATGAGGAGGTAACAATGCGTCACAGTTAGATTGCTGACACTTGTTGCTTAGACTCGGTTATGCCCATGAAACAATTTCTCAACCTAAGTCAGTGTCTTCAGGGCAGGAGAGAAACCAATTGTAAAAAAACTCCTACCTTTAAGTTAAGTTAAACTTTAAGCTTGTTTTCACTCATTCTCATAGAGAACTCTCACTCTCTTCCTTTGAGATTTTGGTTAAATCACATTTTTTGACAGAGCTTTTGGTTACTTCCTTCTCCCTTTAAGGCCCATAGGTTAGACCCCTGTATACCTGGTACCAATGGACAAAGCTCGTGGCATATCTGCTCTGTCCATTTCCACCTCAGAAATTACAATCAGAGCCTGACACTGACTTGCCTATCGCAAATGGCCTCCCGCTTGAAACACACTGGCATTTCCCTACCGATGAAAGCGCCAGTCAGAGGGCCAGCGTAAGTTTGGCAGTAAGTGTTTGGACAACATTTTCAGGCCAGTGCTGTCTCACTAACAGTTAGAATTCAGGCTTCAATTAGTTTAGATGGGAATGTTTAAAGTGCAGTAAAGTAACAGGGTCGTTTGAGACCTTGGCTATGTCATCCCTTTTCTCGTTACAAGTCGCTTCAGGCCCAGGTAAAAAAAGTCCTATGCTCGGCATTATTCCAAGACATGGCCAACAATAGAACCAGTGAATTTCCAGTGGTGGCGGTGAAAGAGCTAGAACCTCGAGCGTCAGTGTCCCTTCAGGACAAAGGCTTTCGTTTCATTTCAACAAACATGAGGAAGGAGATGGGGAACCACCTCACCTCATGTGGGCTCTTTTCCACAGTCATATTGCTCATGAGGTTGACAAATGGGAGGCTGCACAATCAACTGACAAGGAAAAGGCAAGAAAGCATATGAACATATGTTCTTACAACGGTGAATTGCAGAGAAAAGTGCAGAGGACCTGCCCTTAGGAAGATTATCACTATAAAATAGCAAAGAACATTTTATGCAAAACCCATTAACCTGTCTGCTTCCAGGGAGAAGTAATGTACTTTATGTCTGTAACTGGGGCTAACAGAAGTAAACAACTTTGTACATAACATCCTACTGAGGGGAACAATTTTGAAGTCATTCCGAAGGTTGCCCAGATCTTAACTCTAATCCAAGTCCATGGGTGAATTCAACCTTAAAGCACCCTTTCCTTATGATTGAACTTATTGACTGAACAGCAACATAGCTCACACCACACCCCTCAGTAACAGCTGCTCCCCCTGTTGGGATAGGTCATGACATACCACCTGGGCAGGTGGAACTTAGAACATAAGAACTAGGAGCAGGAGTAGGCCATCTGGCCCCTCGAGCCTGCCCTGCCATTTAATAAGATCATGGCTGATCTTTGAGACTCAGCTCCACTTACCTGCCCACTCACCATAACCCTTAATTCCTTTACTGTTCAAAAATTTATCCAGCCTTGCCTTAAAAACATTCAGCGAGGTAGCTTCAACCGCTTCACTGGGCAGGGAATTCCACAGATTCACAATCCTTTGGGTGAAGAAGTTCCTCCTGACCTCAGTCCTACATCTGCTTCCCTTTATTTTGAGGTGATGCCCTCTAGTCCTAGTTTCACCTACCAGTGGAAACAACCTCCCTGCCTCCACTTTATCTATTCCCTTCATAATCTTATATGTTTCTATAAGATCTCCTCTCATTCTTCTGAATTCCAATGAGTATAATCCCAGTCTACACAGTCTCTCCTCATAATCCAACCCTCTCAACTCTGGAATCAACCGAGTGAATCTCCTCTGCACCCCCTCCAGTGCTAGTATATCTCTTCTCAAGTAAAACCCAAACTTTCTGGTCCAGAGGTAGGGACACTATCACTGTGCCTCAAGATCCCAACAACTTACCCTTTACATTGACAGGGTGATCTAGTCAATTAGCTGCAGCCATTTGCTTAAACTTTGCTATACAGACACAGGCGCATATACTGACACATGTGGATCAGTTAGCTCAGTTAGCTGGTTAGTAACACCAATAGGTTGTGGGTTCAGTTCCTGCACTGGCTGAGGTTACCATAAAGAACTCTCCTTCTCAACCTCTCCCCTGATCTGAGGTGTGCTGACCCTCAGGTTAAACCACCATCAGTTGTCTCTCTCTGATTACAGTGCAGCCCTATTGTCCAAGAGGACTATGGCGACTTTATCTTTAAAAGGTAACTGTTCAAATTAAGTCTATTTTCTGGCTAGCTCTCAATACTCTGTTGAGGTGTATTGACACAAGAAGTAATACTAAGAGAAATTACATAATTTCTTTTAAAAACAAAGAAGAAATTACAAGCTGTGCATGTGTGACATTGGGCCAAAACCAACAAGAAAATGCAGTGTTCATTTCCTAACTCTGCTGAAGTGAGGTCTAGTGGCTTCACCTGCGAATCTAAGCAGCAAGCATGAGCAGGCTATTTGATCTGAAAACTGATGCAGCCAAGCTCAATGCTTCCTCTATCTTTACATGGGCATTGTTCTGTAATGTTAGGTAGAATTTCAAC